ATTAACAAATAAAAATTATTTATATTGTTAAAAATTATTAATATTTTAGAAACGATATGCTAATATACTCATTGTAATAAATAATAAACAACTAAAAAATTGTTTGATGGTCTTACAAAATAATAAACCTATCTATTTCATGTGTTTGTTACAAGGAACATTTCCTAAGAAACCTTTGTAGTCTCCCTTGGTCGAGCGCGTCTAGGCGCAGCTCCCAGTACGGTTGAGCTCTGCAGTGTAAGTACACTAGTGATGGTCGAAAGCTCGAATCTCGGGAGACAACCGGTTAAAAAATTTCGAGAATGTGTTAGGATTACAAATTTTTTTTTATTTTATTAACATTATCAAAATCAAATTAAGACAAAATATGACACTCTCTTAATTTATTATATTAATTTTAACTGTATTTTTTTTGTAACAAAGTTCTATATTTGTTACATATGTGTTATATAAGATGTTGTTACTGGATTTAAAAAATTTGTAATTAATTTATATAATCGTTACATATCTGTTATAAATCACTAGTAACAGTGTTATGTATTTATTACATATCTGTTACAGAGATCAGAGCTGACATTTATCATAACCTGCTTGTAACATGCTACAAGCTTGTGACAGAACGTGTTACATCTTGTTATAGAACAAATATATAACCATTACGTATTCGTGTTTGCTGGCTTTGCTCTCAATGTTATATTTGATGAAATTTATATTATTTAATTTCAAATAAATTTAAAATTTATAAGGCAAATGGTGAGTTTTTCCCCTTTCTTGTCTGATATCAGTACAATTATTTGAATTTTTATTAAAAGTAATTTTAAGTATTACTTATTACTGTTTATAATGATAATAAAATCTAAAAATTAAAATATAATTATAATAATTATTGCAATAAAAATATTATGTATTATAAGATAGAGAATTTTCAAGAAAAGAGTTTAAGGATTTCGTATTTCAAGTAGTTCGTACGGCCCTGATTGCTGACGTCGATTTCGGGAAATCTCATTACTGAGTTTAGCGAACGACCCACCAAACCTGCCGCTAAACTATCAGGTCGCAGTGTATTTGAAATGTTCAGAATATTTAATTGCAATGTTTAGTGAAAATTGTGTAAAGATTTAAATGTTCCGATTAAATAAATGTTCAGGAAAGTTTCGCGCTAAACATTTATTCAAGTGGGACATTTAAATCTTTACATGATTTTCACTAAACATTGCAATTAAATATTCCGAACATATCAAATAAATTTTTAGGAAAGTTTCGGTGCTTTGTGGGTAATTATTAATTGTTTTATTAGCTATAAGTAGGGATACTATGATATATATGATGGATGTTTTGAAAAAGAGAAAATTAATTTTAAGTGTTGAAAAAACAAAGATATTGGTGTTCAATAAAGGAAAAAACGGCAAAATGGAAAAATGGCTATGGGATAATGAAGAATTAGAAGAAGTCAAAGTATTCAAGTACCTAGGATTTAATTTTAACAGGGATTGTAATTATAAATATCAAATTTCAGAATTAAAGAAAAAAGGAGTTGTTGCAATGAAAAAAACATGGGGATTAGGAGAAAATAAATGTAAAGGAGATTTTAAAAAAAGAAAGATGATATTTAATTATTTGACTAAAAGTGTTATGTCATACGATAAAGAAATCTGGGGTTGGGAAGAGAAAAAAGAATTGGAAAAAATACAAATGGATTATTACAGATGGGTGTTAAGGTTGGATATATGTACACCTAAGTACATAATATATACTAAAACGGAAACGAGGAAAATGAAAAATGAATGGGGGGCAATAGCAGTAAAGTATGAAGAAAAAATCATGAAACTGGAAAAGAGACTTACGAAAACGTGCAGGATAGAGAAAAAGAAAACAGAGGAAAAAGATAAATTCATATTCATAACACAAGATATAAAGATATTATGAGCAATGGATTACCACAGTATATTAAAGAGTATAAAAAGGGTATGGATCAAGCGACGGTAACTAGAATAAGATGTGGAAATGTTGAGAAAGTTAATAGATATTGGTTAGAAGAAAAAGACTGGACATGTAAATTATGCGAGAATGGTTGGAGTACATTTAAACACTTTTTATATGAATGTGAAGGAACCAAACAGTGGGTAGAAGGAGTTATAGAGAAAGGATTAGATAAAATAGACATTATTACAAGTGAAAAGGGAAATATAGAAATATGTAAACTATTTTGTAAAATTAAAAACGAAATTAGGAAAAAGAATGACAAGCAGTAAATGAAAATGTTAATAGGATAATGATAAGGAAGTTATACTGAGAAATTGGAATAAAATAGGATAAGATATGTCTTGGAATTTGTAAAAGGAAATGTAAATATTAAACGTCAAAATGTATATATACACGGCAATAGTATACCAAAAATGTTAATATATATATTGAATAATGGTATTTAAATAGGATAAAAAAATATAATTATTAAATTATATATAAGCATGAGACTAGTATAGATGAATGAATGAGATTAGATAAAAGATAAATGTAAACCAAGACCGTCTCTGGGCTAAAGAGGCTGAAATAAATTATTATTATTATTACAAGCTCTGATACAAGAAATTTTTCCAAATTCTGGTGCCGAAATTGTACATTTTCTTGTACAAGATTTTGTAAAGGGATTTTTAATAGAGGTTTTTCAAATTTTTTCACTTTTACTCCCTATAACTCTAAAAATTTTATTTTTGGAACATTTTGTGATATACATTATGTTAAAGATACCTCAAAGAATATCTTCCTCAAGTTTTATCCAATTTGTCCGAAAGTCATTTTCTGTACATTATGTGCGTGGCCTTTTACATTTTTTGTTTTTGTCTTAACAAATAGACAAAAAATCTTTTTAAAAAGTATTCAATATTTTTCATAGAACAGCACAAAAATTTCAATTCTTAAAAAGTTACTTTTAAATAAAATCATAAGTATTAAATTCAAGAAACATATGTAAAAATATTAAATAAATACAATAAGATTCACTAATGGTAAGCTATACTGAATTTAACTTTCATTTTTCCCAATTTATTAATTGAGAACCTTGACATCATTTATGTCAGACAAAAAAAGAAAAAAAAAGAAATTGATAAAATGTGATTCTCAAGATTGAAACAATGTAGTCCTTCCTTTCGCATTAACAGACAATTTCCTGTTTCTTATTGGCGAAGAGGATTTGAAAGGAGAAACCCTGAAACTACCCCCAACAACTTAAAACATTAAACAATTATTACTTTCAGCGAGTGTTGCGGGTCTATATTTAACGTTTAACTAATCTTTCGTCTATTCCAGTGTGTTTTACCAATCACTTTCTAAATCAAGGCATAAGGTGATTGTAAAAATTGTGAGAGTAGTGCCCAAATATCTAGTGCGTAAATTTATTAAAACTGATTTATAATGTTCAAGTACCTGATATTCGTGTTGACTTTGCTATTTAGGTAAAACGTATTTTAATTGTTGAGGTCTACAGTTTGCGCATTAAATTTCACGTTTCTGTGATTATATGCCGAAGGCTGAAGATTAATGTTCACCTATTTTTATTATAATGAGGAAATAAATGAGTTTTGTCATTTCCATTGTATGTGCATTATCTGCATTCATTTGTTTACTTTTGGAAAATTCTAATTTTTGTAGGTTATTATTATTTGAAAATCAAACTTTGTGACGGTAGTATCAAACTCGTATGAAATTAGTCTTTTTCTGTTTTCGTTTACTTTTTCCTAATTTGGAAGAATTATAAATTTTTTCTTTTTAAACTATCAAAAAGAATACTATCAAATTGAAAACAAAATACATATCTTTTTTAAAATTTATCGATTTATGTTCAAATTATTTTCTACATTAAATTATTTTTAAATTAATATCTAAAGTAAATTCATTGTACAATAGGTAATTAATTTTATAACAACTGAACTTTTCCAGACAATTAAAATTTTAATAAAATTGAATTTAAAATTTTACTTTTTCAGAAGATTGATTTGTATTGAGAATAAATTAATAGTGTGAATTAATTGAAAAATTTTCTTTTAATATTTGTTTAAAATATTTGTTTCGTTATTAATTTTAAAATAATAGGTATATAATTAAAAATAATATTTTTTTTAATTGAAAAAATAATATAAATATTGCTTATGTTCAATCATTCATAATTTATATTATGAATTATTTTTAAAATAAAATTGTATTGTAATTTCTTCAAAATACTATTAAGAAAATGTTTTAATTTCAATTTAATAAAACAATTAATTGAAAAATCATAATCTTGATAAAATTTTAGGTATTCAAAATATATAAATATAAAAATTGTATGATTTTATAATTTACTTAATAATTCAAATAAATTAACAATGCAACACATTTTTTACGCGCGCTCTAGCATATGTATAGTTTGCTAATAATAACAATAATAATAAAAATAATTATAATAAAATAAAATATATATAACAACTGGATCAAGGTTAATGTCAGATTCTAAAATGATAATAAAAGAATTGTTACAGTATTTAAATGGAAGAATAAAATTAAAAGTTAAAATTATCAACGTGATAACAAATTAATCACGTACTTGTAATGAATCATTGATGAAGAACGATGATAAATATCTCAATAATGTATAAACAAAATAAATTTTTTTAAAAAATGAAAGATTATTATCACGTTAAGGTAAATTATAAAAATATTAATTTTAAATTCAATAAGAGCATTACTTATACTGACATAACTTATTTGTTGACTTTTTCACCGTTTCAACTGAAGAAATAATTTAACACGTGAACATACTTCAGTCTCTCTTGATACTTTAAACTCATCAGTTTCATAAAACAAACATTTAACTGAATTTTACATGTGTACTTATTTTTGTGCAATTAAAAATCATAATATTTTTGTTTAAAAACTATTGTTTAATTTGTTGTCATTAAAAATTGTTCATCTGTTAATATTTTAATATATATAATTTTTACTGACAATAAATTTTTTATCTGCAGTTTGACAATGGCACAGGAAAATGCAATTGAAATTCAATCTTTTGGCTATATTAATGGGAAAGAAGTAAAGAAATTTACATTAAAAAACAGAAATAACCAGGAGATAGATGTGATAAATTATGGAGCAACAATAATAAGTATCAGAACTCCTGATAAGTATAATCAGCTGGCGGATATTGTCCTTGGTTATGATAATCTAGAAGGTAATTATAAAACTTAAATTATTGTTTATATAAATTTTAATAAAATAAAACTATCGTCAACTTTCTTGCTATTTATAATTAAAGGAAGTGCAGACTTTGAAAAATTGAATGGCATTTTTATTTAAGAGAGTTTTTATTTAATTAAAAGTTCATTTACGTAAATTCTAATTTTAATAACATAATTTGGAATTTTTTATATAAAATTTAGGTTTTTTACCATGTTTATTTCAGAAAAAATGAAATTTCTATCAAATGGAAATTCGAGGTTTCAAGAATTCTATGAAATTCTACGACAAAGTGAAAGTCCATCTGCAATTGCATCTCCGATTTTTTTACTTCTAGTACTAATTGAGACTAGCTTCCATGAATTTTTTAAAAATTTTTGATGTTTATGGTGAAAAAAATAAAAAGTGCAAAAATTTATGGTTTTTATTCGTTTATTGGGGTAAAATATGCAAAATTAAAAAAAATTTATAAGATATAAAAAACGTATTTTAATAAGATCTATAACTATTGTTTAAAAGTTTTTTTTTAATTTTGCATATTTTACCCAGTAAACAAAAAAACCATAAATTTTGGGACTTTTTTTATGGTTTTCATCATAAATATCGAATTTTCGGGTATTGTCACTATGATTTTCGTAATCAGCGCATCAAAATACATAAAAGTACGTAGTATAAAAAAAACAAAAATTTTTTTTTAAAAATTCTAAATTCAAAAATTTTTGAAAAATTCCGAAAATATTGTAAAAATTGTTTGCCCATTATCGAGCTAAGCTTAAAAGTTTTGTACAAAGAAGTACTTTTTTTGAAAAAAATCGATTAGTACGTCAAAGGAGAAAATTTTTATCATTAAAACTCAAAAATTTGATAGTAATATCGTTAAAAAAAAAATTTCCATTTTTTTTGAAAAGTACGTTGAAAAACATATTTTGAAAACAAGGATTTTTAAAAATTGATGCATTTTTAAGGAAGTTATGAGCATTCAAAAATTAAAAGTCATGAAAATTCTCCAATTTTCAATATTCTGTAACTCGAAAACGGCTTGCTAATAAAATTTGAAAAAATTCATGGAAGATGGACTTTCACTTTGTCGTGAAATACATCATATATAAAAATATTGTTATTTAAAAATTTTTTGAGTAGAAATTCCGCTAAATGAAAATTTGGATAAATAAGTATTTAATTTAATTAGTATTTATTATTTATTTATTTTTAAAAATAAAAATTTGGTTTGGTTAAGTAAAAATTCTCTGTAACAGGAGAATTCGTTCAATTAAAAAATGTTTTTATGACATACTTACAAATGTCCAAATTTATGTGCAGAAAACATCTACTTCCTGGTTAAAATTTCGGACTGATTCTAGATTAACTTCGGATGGATCAGTCCGCATTAATCTGGTAATTATACGAAAACAATCCGAAAATGATCCGTATTAGTCAGCAATCATTCCGGACCAAAAGACAAATCCTTGATCATTCCGAAATTGACAAGAAATTAATCCGCAATTAGTCCGCAACAATCTGGATTCAGTACTGTCAGAAAACTGAATCTGAAATGAGTCCGGAATAATATAAAATCTTTGTATGAAAAATCCGATATTAGTCTACTTTAATCCCGATTTAAGTTGATAAGAAATCCTAATCCGAAATGAGTCAGGAAAAATCTGTTCAAAAGTAGCAGTTAGTCCGCATAAAAGTTTTAATCAGGAAGAACTGATTTCTCACACAGCACCTAATTAATTTCGGATTTTCTAGTCACATAAATAATAATTTCGGACTAATTTCAGAAGACAAAAACCTGACAATAAACCGGACTGTTTCGGATTAATTCCGAATTAGTTCAGAAGCAGTTCGGAATTTTAACCAGGGATACTTATGTAATTCTAATAATTTTTAAATATCAAATTAGGTTATTTGAGAAGTGATAATCCCTATTTTGGAGCAACTGTTGGTAGAGTTGCGAATCGAATTGGAAAAGCTAGTTTCACATTAGACGGTGTGAAATATAATTTAGCGAAAAATAGAGGTGAAAATACTCTTCATGGAGGATTTCGCGGATGGAACTCAAAAATATGGGAAGCTTTCGCAAGTAATGATTCTGTTGTAATGACTCTTTTAAGTGAAGATGGAGATGAGGGATTTCCCGGTGCTGTTATTGCTTCCGTAACATTCAAATTAAATCATGATGGACAATTTAACATAGAAATGAAAGCATTTACTACCAAATCTACTCCCATTAATCTAACAAATCACAGCTACTTTAATCTTGCTGGACATGTAGGTGTTTTAAAATACATTTCTTTCTGATAAATTATAAAAACCAGATGATAAATTTTTATGGGGGAAATTTCAGTAGAGCATAATGTTTAAGAATATAATTTTGAAATTAAAAAAAATTTCTATTTTTTGGTGAAATGCTAACAAAAATTCAATATATACAGGGCACAAATGCCGAAGAAATTTACAAACATCAAATTCAATTGAATGCAGATCGGTGGACAGTAACGGATTCGGAAAGTATTCCAACGGGAGAATTAAGACCAGTTGATAACACATTAATGGATCTTAGAAATCCAACATTTTTGGGTAATGTTATCAATAAAGTTGCAGGAGGTGGTTATGATTATAATTTCTGTTTACCGGATTCAGACAAAACTAAAACAAAATTCGTTGCTAAAGTTGTTCATCCGGATTCCGGAAGATATATGGTTGTATACAGCGATCAACTTGGAGTACAATTCTACACGTCAAATTTTTTTCCCGAAAGAAATACATCAGCAATTTTAGGAAAAGAAGGAAAACCATATTTTAAACATGCTGCTTTCTGTTTGGAAACACAAAATTATCCAGATGCAATAAATCATGTAAGAGAAATATATTATTTTTATTATTTGTTATTAATATTATATATCAATTTTTTGTTATTTATTGTAATTCATGTAATTTTTTTTAATTTTTGTAATTTTCATTGCAGAATAATTTCCCAGATAGTGTTTTGCGGCCAGATAACGTTTATAATCACATTGTGATATATAAATTTGGTGTTCAAAAATAAACTATTCTATACATTTGGATATCTATTATATTAATATGTAACAGTAATTTTTGAAAATCTTGAAAATATAACTTTAATTAACTACTGTTAAAGACTATAAATTTTGTTTAATTTTCGACAAATTATTTTTTAACAAGTTTGAAATGTGTACCTATAAAAAATCTAAGAAGACTTTTATAGGAATGTCGAATTTTCGTATTCATAGTATTACTTTTGAAAAATTGTTAAAAATATAATTTTATCTTTAAATAAATAAAAATTAAAAGAATTTTTTTTAATTTAACTTATCAATATTACATTTATTTAATTTATTTTTTATTTAATTTGAATACTTTTGCATATATAAATTTTTTTGAAATTTTGATTACATTCAGTTACTTTTTTAGGGTTAAATAATATCAAAATTTCGATCAAAAATTCATTAATTATCATAAATTAAAAAAATGGGCATATAAATATCTCATAATTATCTCAGAGGTAACCTTCTGACATTCAAAAATTCGAAGTACTAAAAATTCTGTTGAATGAGAATTTGCTAAATTTAAAATTCAATTAAATTATAATTCTTTTAAATGAACAGTTGGATAAAGAGAAATTATGCAATATAAAAATTATGTTAAGTATAAAAATTCGTTTCGGAAGAAATTCTGTCAAATCCCGGCTGAAAAAACTTGTACAAGAAATTGTACAAGTTCTTGTACATGTTCATTAATGAACTTGTACATTTTCTTGTATATGTTCAAGTAATGTTCTTGAACAAGTTCAGCATTCGGAATGGAGACATGTTCTTGTACCAGAACTTGTACAAGATCATGGATACGAAAATATACTTGTACAAGAACATGTACATTTTCTTGTACAAGTATATTTTCTTGTTCAGGATCTTGTACAAGTTCTGGTACAAGAACATGTCTCAATTCCGGATGCTGAACTTGTTCAAGAATATTACTTGAACATATACAAGAAAATGTACAAGTTCATTAATGAACATGTACAAGAACTTGTACATTTTCTTGTACAAGTTTTTTCAGCCGGGATACTAATTCTAAAAATAAAAATTTAGTTAAAATAAAATTTCTATCTAATAAAATTCTTTCAAATTAAAATTCTAACTAATAATTATGGTCAACCGGTTATTTAAAATTTTGACTAACTTAAAATTTTGTTAAATGAGAATTTCGTTAAATTAAAATTCGTTTAAATTAGAATTATTTTAAATAAAAAGTTTTTTAAAGAGAAATTTGGATCTATTAATATAAATTTGATTAAACACAAATTAGAGAAATGAAAATTCGTCGAAAAAATTTCTACCTATAATGAATTTTATGGGATAAAAAAGATTTTTCTCTGATTTTTAATTCTCATTAATTAACAGATAACTTGGAATAACATGCTGTCAGCTGTCAAACGAATAAACGAGGAAATACTCAGAACATCTTATGTATGTATATTATATAAGATGTGGTATTTTCTTTCGAAACTGTATATTGCGCGTAAATATCTATATTCTTAAAATTTACATTCAAAATGAGCCTACTTAATATGCACTTAATAAATAAAGGCAAATATTTTTACATTTTACGTCTATAAATATATACATAACAAAGCTTTTTATTTCTATATCAATAAATTGGCATTGTAAAGCAAATTTAAAAATATCAACAAGTAAATTGCAAAATTGGTAAATTGCATCAATAAAAAATAACAAACTTAATGTGAGTGTGTATAGGATTTTAAAATCGCTTTTTCCACTTCTGATACGTGACAACGTATAATATTGCATTATTCGTATACGTGATTTTCTGTATAGGGGAGAGTGGTCCTATGTCGGCCCTGTGGGTAAAGTCGGCCCCCCGGGTTTCTCAGAGCTGGCGTTCGCGTCGAATTAATAATTTTAAACAAACTCTTTTTTAACATACACTAAAATAATTATTTTAGTGTTTGTTAATATGTCACACCACAAAATTATTAATACGACGCGAACGCCAGCTCTGAGAAACACGGGGGGGGGGGGCCGACTTTACCCACAGGGCCGACATAGGACCACTCTCCCCTATATAAAAAAATGTATAAGAAAAAATATAAGTTCATTGTTATATTTGAAGTGATCCAGTAAGCATTCAATGAACTTTTTTATAAAGACAAACAAAAAATTTATTTAATTCAAATACTTCAAATTATTTGAAAAATATTTAATTGGTTCAAATACTTTTTATTTGGATCAAAAAAATATGTATTTGATTCAAATAATTTGAATTATTTGAATCCCATTTATTTGAACCAAGTAAGTCGTATTTGGTTCAATTAAATAATTAATTAAATTGAATAAATGAATTTATTTAATACATTTAAATAATAATAATACATTTAGTTACTTAAAACTATTCATTCATTTATTTCACTCAAATATTTCGTTTATTTGATACAAATAAAAAGTATTTGACACAATACATTCATGCAATTGATTTAAATAAACTAAATTATTTAATACAAATAATTCGTTATTTAATACTAATACACTATTTTATCAAGACAAATAAAAAAATATTTCAATGAATTAAATATTTATTTGAAACGATAATACTGATTTACTTGAAACAATTAATTTATTTATTTCACTCAAATATTTCGTTTTATTGAAAATAAATAACAAATAAAAAGTATTTGATACAATAACTTTATTTAATGGATTCAAGTCAACTAAATTATTTAATTCTAATACTATATTTAATACAGACAAATTAAGAAATATTTTAATCAATTAAATGTTTATTTGAAACCAAAATAATAAGTTACGTGCAACAATTAATTTATTTATTCCACTTGAATATTTCGTTTTTTTGATACAAATAAAAAGTATTTGATACAATAAATTTATTTTATTGATTCTAATTAATTAAATTATTTAATATAAATAATGCGTTATTTAATGTTAAAACACTATTTTATCAAAGGAAAATAAAATATTTTGATCAATTCATTTATGTATTTATATTACCTATATTATTTTTATTATTAATTATATTATTGTCATTGTCATTTTTTATTTAAAAATTATATGTAAACTTTTCAATTTAAAAAGAAAAAAAACAATTTTTTGATATTAAAATAATTTTTTTTTCATTTTTTGTTTGTTTTTTTTATAAAATGTTCAATTAGCTTCCAACTTTCTATTTAAATTCAAAATTCAAATTACAAAAAACTTGTTGTTTTATACAATTTGTAGCAAATTCTAAATATTTTGTAAATCAATTAATCAATACTTTTTTAATATACAATTTATAATTTTAGTTAATTTAATTGTCGTTTTGGTTAATTAATTTTTTTGAATTAATTATTAATTAATTTAAATTAAATTTGTTGAACAAAATATATATTTAAGTTATATATTTTTTGCAATAAAAGATTTATAAAATATTATTGTTAAAAAATTAATTTTTAATATCCATATTTTTGGAAAAGAAGTTAATTTTTATAAACAATATATTTGTAGAAAATATTAATTTTTATCAGCAATATTTTTGTTTAAAAAATTGACTTTTATCAAAACGTAGCTGGAAGGACCTAATCGAGGATGTCGAGAAGGACCCATGGGGTCTGGCTTTTAAAATCGTTACTAAGAAATTAGTAACGAGGCAAAAGACCCCCGGCCTGGACAATCCCGATTGGGGCAGAAAGGTAATAAAAGCCGTGGCTTAGGAAGGACTGGAGTTCTTGTATAGTCACAGAGGAAGAACTCTTTACTCTTGAAGAATTGGAAGCAGCAGGTAGAAGATTGAAGACAGGCAAGGCGCCTGGAATCGATGGGATAAGCAACAAGATCCTAAAAGAGGTGATTGTTGCTTCTTCCCAGATTTTGCTGGACATCTTCAATCGCTGCCTAGAGAGAGGAGAGTTCTTTCCAGACTGGAAGAGGCAAAGGCTGGTCCTCCTAAGAAAGGGAGACAAACCTCTAGGTATGGTCTCATCCTACAGGCGTATATGCCTGTTGGATACGATGGGCAAACTTCTAGAGGACATGGTTCTGCAGAGAATGCAATCTCACTTGACCGGAGAGAATAGTCTATCCGATAACCAATTTGGATTCCGCAAAGGTCGGTCCACAGTTGATGCCGTAAAGGCAGTTGTGGACCTCGCCAGAGAAGGGAAAAACAAATTGGGACCAGATAAAAAGAAGAGCTTCTGCGCGTTGGTAGGACATACGGAACGCGTTCAATTCCGCGAGATGGGAAGATCTCATCGAGTCGATGATACAGAAGGGTATACCGCCCTACCTGTTGCGGATAATAGATAATTATCTAAGCGACAGGTGGGTTATTTACGAGGGAGACACCTGCATTCTCAAGGAAGAGATGCGGCGTCGGGCCCCTCAAGGCTCGAGGGTAGGACCATTTTTATGGAATGTATCTTACGATGACTTCCTGAGAATGGACCTGCCCGAAGATGCGGTGATCGTCGGCTTTGCGGACGACGCGTTGATCGTGTGCGCTGCCGACTCGGCGGAAGCTCTGGGGACATTGGTAAACGAATGTCTGCGGCTAGCAAAATGCTGGCTGGAAACCAGAGGTCTTCAAATGGCCCTGGAAAAGACCGAAGCATTGCTGGTCACAGACAGACGTGGTTATAAATCCCCACGAATCGTGATAGACGAATTCGAGGTCAAGTGGAGGAGACAGATAAAGTACCTTGGTGTGGAACTGGATGGAAGGTTAAACTTCCATCACCACATGGCTACGGCGTCGAACAAGGCGATCGAATGTGCGGCTAACTTAGCACGGGTGATGCCAAATGTTGGAGGCCCCCGTGAGAAGAAAAGAAGACTGGTGGCGAGTGTCGCCGACGCTAAGCTGCTTTACGCAGCACCAGCGTGGGCCCCCTCCCTGAGAACAAACAGATGTTCAACCATCTGTAAAAAGATGCTGTCCGCGCAGAGATGCATTACTTCACGTATTGCCTCTGCTTATCGGACAGTATCTACGAGCGCTGTGCACGTCCTTGCAAGTGTCCCGCCAGCAGATCTTTTGGCGCTTGAGAGGGAGAAAATTATCCTCCTTCTCAAAGAGGCGAATTCCTCTGAAGAGGAAGATCGACCCAGCAAAGACCGCATCCGCTTCGAAGCGAGGCGCAGGCTCGTAGAAAAATGGCAGGAGAGATGGGATGAGAAGGTAAAAGGTCGATGGACTTATCGCCTTATACCGACACTCGCCACTTGGTTAAGTAGGAGCCATGGAGAGGTCTCCTACTACTTGACACAAGCGCTGACAGGTC